AAAAATTCACTATTATATGAGGAGTTTCACATGCAGCAACCACTATCACTATAAACCATGTGAGATTCCAGGTTGGCTAACCCCAGTTGCTTTCCTCTTTTCTGCCTGGGTTCCAGGGTTTTTTCTACCTACTATGCATCCTAAAACTTCTTTGGAGGAGTGGGTGGGTGAAGATACAATATGATAGTGGCAGGCACCATGGGACAAGAAGTAACTAAAGAACATAACCAATAGAGAGATCCCCCCCTAAAATCAATAAAAAGCGTTCAACACCTCGGCATTTAATAGTGAAGCTTGCAAATTCCAAAGATAAAGAGATGATCCTTAAAGCAGCAAGAGACAAGAAATCCCAGACTTTGATGGGGAGGAGTATTAGGGTAACAGCAGACCTCTCCACAGAAACTGGCAGGCCAGTAAGGGCTGGCAGGATATATTCAGGGTCCTAAATGAGAAGAACATGCAACCAAGAATACTTTCTCCAGCAAGGCTCTCATTCAAAATGGAAGGAGAGATAAAGAGCTTCCTAGACAGGCAGGAACTGAAAGAATATGTGACCTCCAAACCAGCTCTGCAAGAAATTTTAAGGGGGACTCTTAAAATTCCCCTTTAAGAAGAAGTTCAATGGAACAATCCACAAAAACAACGACTGAATAGATATCATGATGACACTAAGCTCATATCTTTCAATAGTAACTCTGAACGTGAACGGGCTTAATGACCCCATCAAAAGGCGCAGGGTTTCAGACTGGATAAGAAAGCAGGACCCATCTATTTGCTGTCTATAAGAGACTCATTTTAGACAGAAGGACACCTACAACCTGAAAATAAAAGGTTGGAGAACCATTTACCATTCAAATGGTCCTCAAAAGAAAGTAGGGGTAGCCATCCTCATATCAGATAAACTAAAATTTACCCCGAAGACTGTAGTGAGAGATGAAGAGGGACACTATATCATACTTAAAGGATCTATCCAACAAGAGGACTTAACAATCCTCAATATATATGGCCCGAATGTGGGAGCTGCCAAATATTTAAACCAATTAATAACCAAAGTGAAGAAATGCTTAGATAATAATACACTTATACTTGGTGACTTCAATCTAGCTCTTTCTACCCTCGATATGTCTTCTAAGCACAACATCTCCAAAGAAACGAGAGCTTTAAATGATACACTGGACCAGATGGATTTCACAGATATCTACAGAACTTTACATCCAAATGCAACTGAATACACATTCTTCTCAAGTGCACATGGAACTTTCTCCAGAATAGACCACATACTGGGTCACAAATCGGGTCTGAACCGATACCAAAAGATTGGGATCATCCCCTGCATATTCTCGGACCATAATGCCTTGAAATTAGAACTAAATCACAACAAGAAGTTTGGAAGGACCTCAAACACGTAGAGGTTAAGGACCATCCTGCTAAAAGATGTAAGGGTCAACCAGAAAATTAAGGAAGAATTAAAAAGATTCATGGAAACTAATGAGAATGAAGATACAACCATTCAAAATCATTGGGATGCAGCAAAAGCAGTCCTAAGGGGGAAATACATCGCAATACAAGCATCCATTCAAAAACTGGAAAGAACTCAAATACAAAAGCTAACTGTACACATAAAGGAGCTAGAGAAAAAACAGCAGATAGATCCTACACCCAGCAGAAGAAGAGAGTTAATTAAGATTCGAGCAGAACTCAAAGAAATAGAGACCAGAAGAACTGTGGAAAAGATCAACAAAACCAGGAGTTGGTTCTTTAAAAGAATTAATAAGATAGATAAACCATTAGCCAGCATTATTAATAAGAAGAGAGAGAAGACTCAAATTAATAAAATCATGAATGAGAAAGGAGACATCACTACCAACACCAAGGAAATACAAACGATTTTAAAAACATATTATGAACAGCTATAAGCCAATAAATTAGGCAATCTAGAAGAAATGGATGCATTCCTAGAAAGCCACTAACTACAAAAACTGGAACAGGAAGAAATAGAAAACCTGAACAGGCCAATAACCAGGGAGGAAATTGAAGCAGTCATCAAAAACCTCCCAAACACAAGAGTCCAGGGCCATATGGCTTCCCAGGGGAATTCTATCAAATGTTTAAAGAAGAAATCATACCTATTCTACTAAAGCTGTTTGGAAAGATAGAAAGAGATGGAGTACTTCCAAATGCATTCTATGAGGCCAGCATCACCTTAATTGCAAAACCAGACAAAGACCCCACGAAAAAGGAGAATTACAGAACAATATCCCTGATGAAATGGATGCAAAAATTCTCAACAAGATACTAGCCAATAGGTTCCAACAATACATTAAGAAAATTATTCATGATGACCAAGTAGGATTTATCCCCAGGACACAAGGCTGGTTCAACACTCGTAAAACAATCAATGTGATTCATCATATCAGCAGGAGAAAAACCAAGAACCATATGATCCTCTCATTAGATGCAGAGAAAGCATTTGACAAAATACAGCATCCATTCCTGATCAAAACTCTTCAGAGTGTAGGGATAGAGGGAACTTTCCTCAGCATCTTAAAAGCCATCTATGAAAAGCCCACAGCAAATATCATTCTCAATGGGGAAGCACTGGGAGCCTTTCCCCTAAGATCAGGAACAAGACAGGGATGTCCACTCTCACCACTACTATTCAACATAGTATTGGAAGTCCTAGCCTCAGCAATCAGACAACAAAAAGACATTAAAGGCATTCAAATTGGCAAAGAAGAAGTCAAACTCTCCCTCTTCGCCGATGACATGATACTCTACATAGAAAACCCAAAAGCCTCCACCCCAAGATTGCTAGAACTCATACAGCAATTTGGTAGCGTGGCAGGATACAAAATCAATGCCCAGAAATCAATGGCATTCCTATACACTAACAATGAGACTGAAGAAAGAGAAATTAAGGAGTCAATCCCATTGACAATTGCACCCAAAAGCATAAGATACCTAGGAATAAACCTAACCAAAGAGGTAAAGGATCTATACCCTAAAAACTATAGAACACTTCTGAAAGAAATTGAGGAAGACACACAGAGACGGAAAAATATTCCATGCTCATGGATTGGTAGAATTAATATTGTGAAAATGTCAATGTTACCCAGCGCAATTTACACGTTTAATGCAATCCCTATCAAAATACCATGGACTTTCTTCAGAGAGTTAGAACAAATTATTGTAAGATTTGTGTGGAATCAGAAAAGACCCCGAATAGCCAGGGGATTTTTAAAAAAGAAAACCATAGCTGGGGGCATCACAATGCCAGATTTCAGGTTGTACTACAAAGCTGTGGTCATCAAGACAGTGTGGTACTGGCACAAAAACAGACACATAGATCAACGGAACAGAATAGAGAACCCAGAAGTGGACCCTCAACTTTATGATCAACTAATATTCGATAAAGGAGGAAAGCCTATCCACTGGAAGAAAGACAGTCTCTTCAATAAATGGTGCTGGGAAAATTTGACATCCACATACAGACGAATGAAACTAGACCACTCTCTTGCACCATACACAAAGATAAAGTCAAAATGGATGAAAGATCTAAATGTGAGACAAGATTCCATCAAAATCCTAGAGGAGAACACAGGCAACACCCTTTCTGAACTCGGCCACAGTAACTTCTTGCAAGATACATCCACAAAGGCAAAAGAAACAAAAGCAAAAATGAACTATTGGGACTTCATCAAGATAAGAAGCCTTTGCACAGCAAAGGATACAGTCAACAAAACTAAAAGACAACATACAGAATGGGAGAAGATATTTGCAAATGCCGTATCAGATAAAGGGCTAGTTTCCAAGATCTATAAAGAACTTATTAAACTCAACACCAAAGAAACAAACAATCCAATCATGAAATGGGCAAAAGACATGAAGAGAAATCTCACAGAGGAAGACATAGATATGGCCAACATGCACATGAGAAAATGCTCTGCATCACTGGCCATCAGGGAAATACAAATCAAAACCACAATGAGATACCACCTCACACCAGTGAGAATGGGGAAAATTAACCAGGCAGGAAACCACAAATGTTGGAGAGGATGCGGAGAAAAGGGAACCCTCTTACACTGTTGGTGGGAATGTGAACTGGTGCAGCCACTCTGGAAAACTGTGTGGAGGTTCCTCAAAGAGTTAAAAATAGACCTGCCCTACGACCCAGCAATTGCACTTCTGGGGATTTACCCAAAGATACAGATGCAATGAAACGCCGGGACACCTGCACCCCGATGTTTCTAGCAGCAATGTCCACAATAGCCAAACTGTGGAAGGAGCCTCGGTGTCCATCGAAAGATGAATGGATAAAGAAGATGTGGTTTATGTATACAATGGAATATTACTCAGCCATTAGAAATGACAAATACCCACCACTTGCTTCAACGTGGATGGAACTGGAGGGTATTATGCTGAGTGGAAGGAGTCAATTGGAGAAGGACAGTGTATGTTCTCATTCATTTGGGGAATATAAATAATAGTGAAAGGGAAAATAAGGGAAGGGTGAAGAAATGTGTGGGAAATATCAGAAAGGGAGATAGAACATAAAAACTCCTAACTCTGGGAAACGAACTAGGGATGGTGGAAGGGGAGGAGGGCGGGGGGTGGGGGTGAATGGGTGACGGGCACTGAGGGGGGCACTTGACGGGATTAGCACTTGGTGTTATTCTGTATGTTGGTAAATTGAGCACCAATAAAAAATTAATTTATTAAAAAAATAAATGCTGACTCAGAGAAGGTGAAAAAAGAAAAGAACATAACGTCGTTTTAAAGAATAGCAGCTAATTCATAATTCTATATTCAATTCAGATAAGTGAATCAATTACATGACGTATTTTCTTGGCTCATTAACTATATTATTTTCTTGTTACAAAAAATATTTTCAACCTGTGTGTCCTTAAAATGGAAAGAGTATCAGCAATAACCAATGGCTAGCTGGCCCAAAGAATGATACTATCTAAAGCAAAAAATGAAAGGATTTCAACTTCACTCACCACAGGATAGCTTTCTCTTCTTTTTTCTCTTTGTGAAAGAAAAGGTGGATCAACAGTGTTGCAGTCATCACAAAAACACCACTTATGCCTTTTTGGTTGAACAGCTGGAATTTTGACTTTACGAATTAAAATTAGAAAATACAATAATGTAGCTTCATCTTACCAATTTTAATGGTGACAAGAATAGAAGGAATAAATTAAGTCTACAATTACTATAATATCTTAATGTTCAGCATCTCATTATTATTACTATCAACTGACTGATTACAGCTAACATCTACCAAAAACTTATCACACATTGAATGTCAAACTCTTTTCCTTATTTAATCTTATTTAATCTTCATATAACCCCTGTAAGATAGGTAGTTTATTCTATCCATTTTACAGAAGAGGAGAATGAAGCTTAGTGGGATTTGGGAAGTTTCCTTCAAGTCACATAGCAGTACTGAAACCAGATCTGATTCCAAAATCCATGCTCTTAATCATTATGCCTACAATTCATTGTCTCTCATCCTTTTCCCATTCTGGGTTCCCTTTCTTCATATAAGTATTGTACCCTACATCCCTCATCCCTTTAGGGTACCTGACCAAGGAAATGTATACACAAGAAACAACAGACAGGTGGGAATAGATATATAGCACTTCACAACAGAGTGCCCAATAATTCCAAATATGGCTGTGGAGAGGGAGAAAGACATGCCTGGGGCTCTAAGAAAGGCCCTGACCCTATAAACTTACTATACAGTAGCACACAATGAAAAGAGGAACCTTGTATCAGTCTTGACTTTGACCTACATGTGCTCTTACTCACTAGTAATATATGAGACAGTGATTATCTTTAGCTCTGACCAATAATATCAGTAACATAATTCTTCTCTTGAAAAACAACTGGTAAGGATAGTGGTAGGCTAGGGGAAAACTGTGTAATGGGGATTCTTTCCCCAATTATTCCACCTCATAGGGAGAAAGAGCAGGTATGTTCCTGGGTTTCTCTAATGAGTCAAGGCTCATGCAGAAAAGAACAGAAAAGGAAGAACAACTCACTCTCCTCAACACTTAATAAATTGTGTTTAACTGTTTTCTGGTTGACCTTCCCACAAGACTCGAAGTTCCTCATGGGCAAGTACCTAGTTTGCTTGGCAGGTGCTTAACAAATGTGTTTTCTATATTAGTGTTCACAACATGCTTATTTCTTATATATAGTTCACTATATTATTTAAATGCAAACTATTTTTTTAAAATGGTTCATAAAATTTTGCCCTGCTATAAATTACCTTGAAATATTTTTATACTCTATTTACACATACACATATAAGTATATTTGCTTATTAACAAATTCATATTCTAGCATCAAACGTTAGATTATTGAAAAGTTGGCATCGGTCCAACTTTCACATACACCACTATAAATTTTGAAGTAACGGAATCTTAATTGCAAAGACTTTCGTATAATATCAACCTTTTCTGGCCTTACTAACAGTAAGCCAATCTGTGTGGTTTCAGTTAAATCTCTATCACAGACTCAATGGTAAAGATTAATAATTGTTTAATGAATAATATGGGCTCCATTTCAACATGTAATTCCAATCCAATAGGATCATATGGTATATAAATTAAACCATGTTTGGAAATGCCAAGTTCCAAAAATAAAAAATGCTTTTCAAGAGTTTAGTAAGCACACAAAACATTTACCCCAGTTATGAAACAATTTACACTACAAATCTGAAGATTTATTTTTCTAAGCAGAGGTATGTATACACTTGTATAAGAGAGCAAGCAATACTGACATACATACCAGTGACTGTAGCATTACTTTCATTTCTATTATCAGTCTCAATTGCACCAAAAGATATCAGTAGCTCTTTCATTTTTTCATTATCTGCTTCATCCAAAGCAGTTTTCTGTTTTTGATTCTTTTGATTTGGGTTTGCTCCATGTGGTAGTAGAATCTCAGCTGCCTACAAGGTATTTTTCCAAAGTTATCCCTACAGACACCTAAGATCAATAATTTCTGCTTTCATTATAATACACCACTATTAAAAGTTATCAAAGTATTAAAAGTTATCAAAAGAAGTTTCAAATGCTAGCCAAGAAAATTTTTTATTAAATTTTATATGAAAGCTATAAAATAATTTAATGATTTGGCCTGACCTGTCCTCAAGAAGAACCAAACAATGACATGAAAATACCGGAGATGCTGCCTTCATTGCAGTTAAGAAGCACACACAGGTAGAATGATATACAAGACTGACTCTATCTCTTTAACAGAGCCCTTGTCCTTTCCTCCAACCTGCATCACTATATTTTAGGTATGTTACTTGTTCAAGAAGTTTAATGAGCTAGCTTGAAAATCCAATGACCCTTCTAATAGTATCTGAATATATTTGTTATGTGTCCTAAATAAGTGAATTATATGCACAGAATCTTAAAGGTAAAAAGAAATTTAGAAATAATCTACTCCAACCTGATCATCTTACAGAAGAGGAAACTGAGGTCAAAGAGGTTGTAACATTGGGTGGGGGATGGTTTCTAACATAAATAAGGTTTCTCTGAATAACTCAAAGCTGTTATATATTGGGAGTTTGTAAATGATCAAAGTTAAAGATGTTACTAATTAGCTATGGTAGAAGTCAACTAGTGAAAAACAGCCAATGATTCCATCTGTGTGAGTCAAGTAAGGGACTCAAATCACTGAAAAACCGGAGTAGAAAAACATGGTCAGGATTTTGTTTAAAATAGAGATATGCTCTGTGTTAGTGGCTTATCTTTTCTCCTTATGTCCAGGTATGGAGAAGCAGAGAAATTTAGGAGTAAATGGGCCAATGAAGATGATAAGGATAGCCCCTCATTTATCCCATCAGCCCAGAGTTCGCACAAGAGAAATTAGCTTAAGAGAAAATATGTTTGTTTTAAAATCAAGCATACAAAACTCATTCCTGCTACCTACTAGCTATGTCCTTGAGCAAGTTATTTACCATTTGAACCTCATTTTTATCACCTAAAAGAACTAAATGTGAGCCTCTGTCAAACACCATATTCATAATGGATTATTTTTTAATAAATTTATTTTTTATTGGTGTTCAATTTGTCAACATACAGAATAACACCCAGTGCTCATCCTGTCAAGTGCCCATCTCAGTGCCCGCCACCCAGTGACCCCCACCCCCCGCCCACCTCCCCTTCCACCACCCCTAATGGATTCTTTTTTTTTCCCCTAATGGATTCTTAATGAAAGTCCCCTAAGCCCCCTTTTTCTCTAGAGGAGTAAAAAGACCAACTTAAGTAATGAGGGACAGTGGATAATAAATAGCATATGAAGAAAGTCTCCAACAAAGATTTTTGATAAAAACTTACTGAAGTCTGAGTAAAGGTATTTTGTTTTGTTTTTTAAAAGAGGGAGTGAGTGGGCAGCAGGGGGTGGCTCAGCAGTTTGGTGCCGCCTTCAGCCCAGGGTGTGATCCTGGAGACCCGGGATTAAGTCCCACATCAGGCTCCCTGCATGGAGCCTGCTTCTCCCTCTGCCTGTGTCTCTGCCTCTCTCTCTCTCTCTCTGGTCTCTCATGAATAAATAAATAAAATCTTTACTATATATTTGGGAGGAAGAAAGGTAGTTTTTTTGTTGTTGTTCTTTAACAAAGGAAGCTTTTCTGGACTTAAAAATTACACTATATTAATAATGACTATTTTGTGTGTTAAGATGAGGCCTTCCTACAGGAAGGCTTTGACCTTTAATGTGTTAACATGGACTCATTTAATATATTAGTTTGGAAGACACAGAGAACTCAGCTCAGATGGAATAGGACCCTGAACAGCTGTTTCCGTAAGGGTCATGCGTAGGCAAAAGTGTAAGAGAATAGCAACAGCACAAAAAGGCACTTAGCAGGCAAGGCGAAAGCTATAGTTGGGAGAGAGTTCCAGGTAACATGATGGGGTAGACCTAAGGAACAAAGAATATGACAAAAATTAGGTGACCAAGAAGTAGGCCCCTTGCCTTTTTTTTTTTTATAATCAGCTTTACTGGAGTAATCACTACTATAACCATGACTCAGAAACATTCCATCATTATAAAAAAATCCATATATTTCCATTTCAAAACCAGACAAAGACCCCACCAAAAAGGAGAATTATAGATCAATATCCCTGATGAACTCAGATGCAAAAATTCTCAACAAGAAACTAGCCAATAGGATCCAATAGTACATTAAGAAGATTATTCACCATGACCAAGTGGGATTTATCCCCGGGATGCAAGGCTGGTTCAAAATGAGAAGCAATCAACATGAGAGATCACATCAACAAGAGAAAAAACAAGAACCATATGATCCTCTCATTAGATGCAGAGAAAGTATTTGACAAAATACAGCATCCATGCCTGATCAAAACTCTTCAGAGTGTAGGGATAGAGGGAACATTCCTCAACATCTTAAAAGCCATCTACGAAAAGCCCACAGCAAATATCATTCTCAATGGGGAAGCACTGGGAGCCTTTCCCCTAAGATCAGGAACATGACAGGGATGTCCACTCTCACCACTGCTATTCAACATAGTACTGGAAGTCCTAGCCCTAGCAGTCAGACAACAAAAGGAAATAGAAGGCATTCAAATTGGCAAAAAAGAAGTCAAACTCTCCCTCTTCGCAGATGACATGATAGTGTACATAGAAAACCCAAAAGACGCCACTCCAAGATTGCTAGAACTCATACAGCAGTGTGGCAGGATACAAAATCAATGCCCAGAAATCAGTGGCACTTCTATACACTAACAATGAGACTGAAGAAAGAGAAATGAAGGAGCAAATGCCACTGACAATTTCACCCAAAAGAATAAGATACCTAGGAATAAACCTAACCAAAGAGGTAAAGGATCTATACCCTAAAAACTACAGAACACTTCTGAAAGAAATTGAGGAAGACACAAAGAGATGAAAAAATATTCCATGCTCGGGCAGCCCCAGTGGCGCAGCGGTTTAGCGCCGCTTGCAGCCCGGGGTGTGATCCTGGAGACCCAGGATCGAGTCCCGCATTGGGTTCCCTGCATGGAGCCTGCTTCTCCTTCTGCCTGTGTCTCTGCCTCTCTCTCTCTGTGTCTCTCATGAATAAATAAATAAAATATTAAAAAAATATTCCATGCTCATGGATTGGAAGAATTAATATTGTGAAAATATCAATGTTACCAAGGGCAATTAACACATTTAATGCAATCCCTATCAAAATACCATGACTTTCTTCAGAGACTTGGAACAAATAATCTTAAGATTTGTATGGAATCAGAAAAGACCCAGAATAGCCAGGGGAATACTTTTTTTAAAAAATAATAAATTTATTTCTTATTGGTGTTCAATTTGCCAACATACAGAATAACATCCAGTGCTCATCCCATCAAGTGCCCCCCTCAGTGCCCGTCACCCATTCACCCCCACTCCCTGTCCTCCTCCCCTTCCACCACCCCTAGCTCGTTTCCCAGAGTTAGGAGTCTTTATGTTCTGTCTCCCTTTCTGATATTTCCTACCCATTTCTTCTCCCTTCCCTTCTATTCATAGCCAGGGGAATACTGAAAAAGAAAACCAGAGCCGGGGGCATCACAATGCTGGATTTCAGGTTGTACTACAAAGCTGTGATCATCAAGACAGTACCATAAGATTTTATGGTACTGGCATAAAAACAGACACATTGATCAATGGGACAGAATAGAGAACCCAGAAATGGGCCCTCAACTCTATGGCCAACTAATATTTGACAAAGCAGGAAAAACTATCCACTGGAAAAAGGACAGTCTCTTCAATAAATGGTGCTGGGAATATTGGACCGCCATGTGCGGAACAATGAAACTAGATCATTCTCTTACACCAGACACAAAGATAAACTCAAATGGATGAAAGATCTAAATGTGATATAAGAATCCATCAAAATCCTAGAGGAGAACACAGGAAACAGCCTTTTTTACCTTGGCCACAGCAACGTCTTGCAAGACACATCCATGAAGGCAAGGGAAACAAAAGCAAAAATGAACTATTGGGGCTTAATCAAGATAAAAAGCTTCTGCACAGCAAAAGAAACAGTCAACAAAACTAAAAGACAACCTACAGAATGGGAGAAGATATTTGCAAACGACATATCAGATAAAGGGCTAGTATTCAAAACCTATGAAAAACTTATTAAACTCACAGCAAAGAAACAAACAATCCAATCATGAAATGGGCAAAAGACATGAACAGAAATTTCACCAAAGACATACACATGGCCAACAGCACATGAGAAAATGTTCCAAACACCAATAAAAAAATAAATTTATAATAAAAAAAGAAAATGTTCTGCATCATTCGCCATCAGCAAAATATAAATCAAAAACACAATGAGAAAACAAATGAAAAAACTCTGGATGATAGCCCACTCATCTGGTATTACTATTATTATTATTTTTTTAAGTAGGCTCCATAACCAGGATGGAGCCCAGTCTAGGGCTTGAACTCATGACCCTGAGATCAAGACCTGAGCTGAGATCAAGTGTGAGACATTTAACTGGTAGAGCCACTCAGGTGCCCCTTTCTGATATTCTTCTTCTTCTTTTTTTTAAGATTTTATTTATTTATTTATTTATTTATTTATTCATTTCATTCATTCATTCATTCATTCATGAGAGACACACAGAGAGAGGCAGAGACACCGGCAGAGGGAGAAGTAGGCTCCAGGCAGGGAGCCTGATGTGGGACTTGATCCTGGGACTCTGGGATCATGACTTGAGCCCACCTGAGCCGAAGGCAGAGAAGTTTAACTACTGAGCCACCCAGGCATCCTGAGGAATCACTTTAATGCTCAGTTTAAAATATCTTCATTTTCTTCACTTGTTTCTCTAAGAAAAAGTAATAGGAACCCAATCTGATGTGCATTGTACCTTTAAATGATTGTTGGCAGCAGCATCATGTAAGGGAAGAATCCCATCTAGTTTTTCAAAATTAACATTAGCACCAGCTTTTAACAACTCTACAATTCTATCATGAGATCTCTTAGTAGATGTCTTATGAAGTGGTGTCCAACCTAAAAAAGGAAAAAAGAACAAAACAAGCTGCTGCTTACAAACCAACATTCATTAATATCTTCATTAATAAGGTAATTTGCACTATTGCAATGAGTACCTATATTGATTCAAATATACATACTAAGTATTTACAAGAAATAATATTGAAAACCATGGCCCTAAAATGTTTCAATTTTTAAAACAAACCAATCTCATCAAAAAGATTGGTTGATCCAAGTGCCAAAACAGAAGACTCACAGAACATAAAATATAATGGGACTAGAGTAAATAAAAATCATGTCAATTTGTTTCATCTTAGATATTAAAATAGAGTAAGATCTAGTCTGTCTTCCCTATCTGTATCACTGCATTGTCACATATCTCTTCAAAATGACATAGAATGCCTGAAATCAATATTTGAGATTTTCCCTCTGTTAAGACCTCACATATGACTTTCTCGTGCTTGAGCAAAATATTAGAAGATGAATTTAAAAATGGAGGCTGAAAATAAAAATAAGGAAAGAGACAACAAATAGTGTAAAGAGAGGAGAAAGAGAGGGAACAGGGAAATGAAAAAAAAAACTGACATTTTCTCCAAAGCAAGAGAATAGTATTAAGATCTCCAAGGAAAAGACCTAAATAAAGCTCTCCTTACTCTCCAATATGTATACTCCCTCTGAATGCTCCCACATGTAAGTTAAAAACTATTTCAGAGGAGGTTATTTTAGCAATTGGTGAAAACCACGATGAACTTAACTATTAATTAAATGATATATTATTAAGACAGTTCAAAGTTAGCAGCCAGGATCAAAACTGGGGTAGGGTGGATGAAATGTGGATTTCAGGGAGTTCAAGTTATAAACACAATGAAAATTTCAAGAATCCAAACCTGCATTGTCTTTTAGATTCACATCTGCTTCAGATTCTATTGGAGCCTTCACCAGAGACAAAGTTCCTCTTCTGGCAGCCAAATGAAGCCGGCGCTCCCCTCGGGCACGCCTTTTATTGATCCCAGCTGTCTTCATTTCTGTAAATTTGCCAAGCAAAACTGAGACTACTTTTCTGCTAAATGCTGATCATTACAAAGGAGCTTAGAAAGTACACAGCAACTTCCTCAAAATATCCTAAGTAGGATACACTATACAAAACATACATCAACATCATTATTGCTATTGCTGTTTTAAAATACAACTTGTGAGGGACACCTGGGTGGCTCAGCGGTTGAGTGTCTGCCTTCTGCTCAGGGTGTAATCCCTGGATCTGGGATCGAGTCCCCCATAGGGCTCCTTTCATGGAGCCTGCTTCTCCTCTCTTCCTGTGTCTCTACTTCTCTCTCTCTCTGTGTCTGTCTCTCATGAATAAATAAATCTTCAAAAATATATATATAACTTGTGAAGGAATTGCAGAGCATCTAAGCACATTACTTTGAATTCATTCTAACAGCTGCTTAGTCACTCTATCATGTTTGATTAAAACAAACTTGCTTCAATTTTACCCTCATTTCACTCTTAATAGTCCTTTAACAATGGAAAAAATTTTTCTTAAAACAACCTGTGATTTTATAAAACTCTTCTTTATAGCTCTTATCTATGTCAATATGTGTATTTCTGAACACAAAAGACACCAAAAACCGAACCAAGGCCCATTACATTCTTTCTTTCATAAATCATGCAGTACACAACATCATTACCCAAAGATTCTTTAAAAAATCTTTTCCTTGCACCACAACTTAGAGAGAATTAAGCTGGATCTAAAAAAAAATGGACCATGTTTTCCCCTCAATTTCTTTCCCAAACCATGCTAAAATGATAGTAAAGGATTTTTTTTAACACCATAAAAAAATAGAAGAGGACACAGAGAGGACAAAGACTTCAATAACTTTTTGGGAACTGGAAAATCACTAATGAAGAAGAGTTAACTGCCTTGATAAAGTAGAGGAAATGCCTCAACCCAAATTCCTGCAAAAATAATTAGAGAGGAAGAAGATCTCCCTGTATCCAGCACCTGGGGGTATCAAGCATGGTGAAAGGCAGCCTGCATGGAACTGGGTAAAAATATGGAGATTGACTGAAAGTTTATAGAGAGAAGTTGGGACTCCAAGTTCCCTTCACCCAACGCTGAATTGTCTGGCAACCATTGCTCTTACTCAAAGTCCCCATCTCCAAGCCAGGAAACTAAAGGTTTATTTTCTGTAGAAACCACATCAGAAAAGCTTCAGAGTGAGACAGAAGGCAAAGTAGAGGATTAGTGTGATCAAACAGAAAAAAATATTTATTTTTAATAAATAATCCTCAAATGTAGTCCCAAATTAGCAGTGTATGACCTGGGAAACTTGTTAGAAATGCTAATTCTCCAGCCCACCTCACAAGCCTACTGTGGAAAGCAGACTTTAGGGTAACTCCTAACGAGCCCCATCTCCTGGTATTATGGCCTGAATCATCCCCTCTCTTGAATAATTTGCTTCTAACCAAAAGAATACCTCAATATTGAGGGTATTTCACTTATTTGATTAGGTTATAAGAGATTGTAAAATTTTCTACTTGCTAGCAAATTTGCTCTATCATCTTCAGTTTGCATGTTTTGATGAACCAAGAGGACTTACTGGAACAACTCATGAAGGAAGAAACTGAGCATGACTACAAGGTGGCTACAACCCTCAAGGAATTGAATCCTGACACCAACCAAATGAACTTGAAAATGGATCCTTCCCTGGTTGAGCCTTCAGATGAGACCCTAGTCTTGACCACACCCTGACTGTCGCCTATGACATATCCTGAGCAGAAGATGGGCCTAAGCCATGCCCAATACCTGATCTACAGCAACTATGAGATAAAAAACGTGTGTTGTTTTAAACTGCTAAGTTTGAAAATGTGTTATATACTAATAGTACATCTAATGAATCAGACTTTCTGAGAGTGGAGCCCAACAATCTGTTTTAACAAGCTTTCCAGGTGCTTCTGATGCAAGATTAGGTTTGAGAACCCCTGTATTAAACCTTAAAACATGCTTCCTGCTCCATTTCCTATATGCCAGCAACTAGGCATATAATTTCAGGTCAAGAGGTAAAAAGTTTAGAGAATTATTCTCTAAAAGATGGAATTTTCAGTTATGTCAACCACAGGAAAGACTGACAGCCTCATGTCCACCTTCCATTGACATCCAGACAAAATCACAATGCTCTTACAACCTTGTACTCAGGAATTTTTATTAGAAGAGTCAAGACATATCTATTATATATTTTTAATACTATATATACATCTATAGATAATATATTTTAAAATTATGAAATATCCAGGATCCCTGGGTGGCTCAGTGGCTGAGCACCTCCCTTCGGCCCAGGACATGATCCTGGAGTCCTGGGATCGAGTTCTGCATTGGGCTCCCTGCAAGGAGCCTGCTTCTCCCTCTGCCTGTGTCTCTGCCTCTCTCTGTGTCTCTCATGAATAAATAAATACAAATCTTCAAGAAAAAAAATTAGTTTAAAAAATTATGAAATATCCAAAACAGCAGACCTGTATTTTGCAAGTTTGAACTGAAAAATCTCTCCCATAATTGTTACTGTGAATGGTACAAATCTTCTCACCTAGTTCTTGGTGTGTTGTAGCAGAGAAGGAAGGCACGTGATAAACATTTTGGAGCAAAAAGTCAAAAATTCCTCCATGTAACTGTCATCATATATTTCTTTAGCACATAACTGAAATTTTAAAATACAATCTAGAAGAAACTGCAAAGGAAACAAACAGCACCCACACTAACTTCACAAAAAACTTCTTCACAAAGTCTACCATGGTTAATGCTGAGTGCTTCTTCATAGCATTAAACTTTATTCATAAATTAATAAATATTGATAATATATTTAATAATTGTATTAATAATATTTATTAATAAAGTAATAAACTAAGAAATATTCAGCTTTCAGTTACTTTATATGTGATCTATTTTTTTTAGTCTCTGGAAGCTCAAGATCACAGAGAATGTGCCTTCCTACTTCCTAATACATAATAGGTAAACTTTTCAGTTCATTTAACCTTTATAAACCTTACTCCTTAACCTGAAGTGGCCTGGCCTAGCCACAGAACTAGCTCTAAGACCTGTCGAGATATGGTTAACTTGTCCATACTGCCAAACACACACAGTTCGTTCATCTGACAAAAGAAACCAGAGGCTACTCTTTAATTTCCCTTATAGTGAAAGGTCTCATTGGAGCATCAAAGGGATTAGGCACGATTCAGGTGCACCACATGCACTCAGTATTCTGCCTAGCTGTCTTACCTACTCTAACATTTCAAATTAGAAGTCACAGGCAGAAACATGGTAAGAATGTATCTGAGGACTAAAAAATTCTCAAGTAGTTTACTTTATATTTATTGTAAAACCATCTGAAAAAAATATAGCTGAAATAATCTTATAACTTAGTGAATGAGGGAAAAAAAACAACAGTAAATCTGAAAGTTAAGAAATTCCCTGAAGTAGAGCATACTGCTGGGCTTGATCATGTCAACTTTTACCTATACATGTATAGAAAGACAAACCTTGGCTGCGGGTAGCTTTCAATAAATTTTGTCTTTTTCTGAAATTCTGAACTTTTTTGCATTCTTGGATATTAGACATGTGAATTTCAGAATCTGTTTTTTCTTCTTTCTCACCATTTCTCATAGTGCTTTCATCTCCATTGATATTACTAGTTAATTCCTCATCTAAAAAAACAAACATTTTACAACATCAGTGCTGCAGTTCTCCTCACTGGTTACGTGATTAGAAAAACTCATAACAATTCCAAGTTTCTGTTCCTCGCTGGACTGATTTATTCTATTTTATTTTACTTTATTTTATTTATTTATTTTTTTATAAATTAATTTTTATTGGTGTTCAATTTACCAACATACAGAATAACACCCAGTGCTCATCCCGTCAAGTGTCCCCCTCAGTGCCCGTCACCCATTCACCCCCACCCCCCGCCCTCCTCCCCTTCCACCACCCCTAGTTCATTTCCCAGAGTTAGAAGTCTTTATGTTCTGTGTCCCTTTCTGATATCTCCCACACATTTCTTCTCCCTTCCCTTATATTCCCCTTCACTATTATTCATATTCCCCAAATGAGTGAGAACATACACTGTTTGTCCTTCTCCGATTGACTTACTTCACTCAGCATAATACCCTCCAGTTCCATCCACGTTGAAGCAAATGGTGGGTATTGGTCGTTTCTAATGGCTGAGTAATATTCCATTGTATACATAAACCACATCTTCTTTATTTTTTAAAGAATAAAAGCCTTTAAAAATGTTTTCAGGGGCACCTGGCTAGGTCAGTCAGTAGAGCATGTAGAGACTCTTGAGTTACAGCCCTGGTTGGGTAGAGAGATTATTTAAAAATAAAATCTTTAGGGGTGCCTTGGTGGCTCAGTCAGTTAAGCGTCTGCCTTCAGCTTGGGTCATGCTTGATCCCAGAATGGGATCCTCGGGGAGCTTGCTTCTCCCTCTCCCTCTGCCTGCCACTCCCCCTGCTTGTGCTCTCTCTTTCTCTGTCAAAGCAATAAAATCTTAAAAAATTAAAAATAAAATCTTTAAAAAATGTTTTTATATAACAAAGTTTGCTGGATGCAATTCTGACGGGAACACAGAATCACTGAAATCAATAGCGTTAACAATTTCCTGCTATGGAAATTCTAGGTTAACTGATACTAAATAAGTGCTATAATAAAAAGAAACAAAAAATTGATATACTGTTTATTAACTTGTCAATACCAATTTAGCAACAGTCTTTGGTTGAAAATAATGGTTTATTTTCAAAATAAACAATATTACTTAACTAACAGCATCCCCAAATTATAGTCCACATGTCCTCATTCTTGTCAGTTTGGCATATAGTCCACATGTCCTCATTCTTGTCAGTTTGGCATAAATTGTTACAAATTTCTATAAAATATGTAAATCTGTAGGAGATATGTACAAATCAAGCAATACTACTAATACCTGCTTTATTTTTTTTAATTTTTTTTAATTTTTTTTAATACCTGCTTTATGAGAAATTTCCTTTTCTTCTTTTTGTCTAAGTTGTGAAATGTTGGTCAATTCCTTACTGATATTGTCAGTGGAATAAAAAACTGTATCATGTATGGTTTTGCTCTTTGGAAGATCTTGTTTCCTTTTTTCTACTGCAGTTGTTTCTATTACTTGAGAATTAACAACTGTGGATAAAGGTCCATTTGAAGAACTTGTTTCCCGGCTTTCATCATTGCAATTCTTTTTAGGGTCTTCTCCCTCATTTACTTTTTCCACAATATGAATATCTGTTTGATCCATTAAAGGAGTTGGTGCTCTGGAGCTAAAATCTTGAGGCCTTTTGAATAGCTTCACATGACTAGTCAACTTTGAAGCTTCCTGTGTTGAAAATGTTCGTGGACAAGCCAGGGAAGTATGCTCAGAACTGCCATGTGAGTGATCAAAAGAAGTTTTACATTTGCATTGTTCATAAATGGCAACACATTGTTCAGGACCTATTGTATTATCTGAATCAGAAAGATTAACAGCTTCCTGTTGTATGGTTAGACTGCATACTTTTAACTCATTTTCCTGTGAAAAATGGTCTTCAGAAGGGACAAACTGTTGAAAATCCATTTCTTTTCTAGTTGTTACATTCTCCTTATAATTACAGTGGTTTTTGCAACCTGTAGAACACACCACTGTTTTACATGTTACAGTCTTTTCAGAGGGAAAGCAATCATCATCATTAACATTATTAAAATTTTTCTTTATAAAGGATACGAAAGAATTTTCCCACTTACTAAGGTTCTCACATTTTTGACCTGAGTTACTGTTTTCAGGAGATTTATAAGGGCTAATGTGCTGTTGTTCTTGGTGAGTGTGAGGCTGCTGATCTGTAGTAACAAGTGGTAACTTGATTTCTTTCTGTAAGGAAAGTCTTGAGAAAAGAACAGCTTCTTCTTGGTCAGTGGATCCTAAGAATTTCATTTCTTGATTATCTGATAAATCCAGGCTCTGGATATGTGTCTCTTTTGGAACTAAACAAGCCTCAATATTGTTACCTAATCCATTTTTCAGGCTTGACAGAGCTGGGCTAAAAAGTTTATGTGACTTTTCTGGAAGGTCATCAAAGGCTTGGAGAGTATCTGGCTGACCAGTAACTAATCTGTTTATTCTTCTGGAAGAAGAAACAGCTCTTGCCTTTCTTGGAATGCATATTTCTTGTTTTGGATCATCCACTTGAGTTCTTTTCTGTCCTGTGTTTCTTCTTCCTTTATCTTTAGACATACTTGTATTAACGCCTTTGATATTCTGGAGACCCTTCTTTCGGAGTCTTCTAGTAGAGTGTATTTCGTTAAAAGTTGATTGCTTATGCTTGAATTTACCAAATTTTGTGTCTTTGGAATATTTTTGGTAATGTTCATATACATCTTCTTTATTTATAAATAAACCCTCTTTACTTCCTTTATCAACTTCTACATGTTCTGACTTCTGTCTGTTGGAATTTTCATCACGAACAAACCCAATGAGATTTTTAGAACTGAATTTTGGTTTCTAAAGAAACAAAACATATAGTTAGCTTTATTTTCAACTCTACTTCTATACTCAATTCAGGATTGTTGATAAATCGAACCACTACTCCACTCAATTTTATGATTTGATCTAACCACAGGGCCTGATGGGATATATACAACCTAATATTTCAAAAAAGAAGACTAAGAGAGAAAAGCAAATGTAGTAGACTTAGACTCATTATGTGTACTAATCTGTATTTTCTGCCTCACATTTTAATTTGTTTTTGCCAATATTTAGCAATATTAATACTATTAAGCATAATAAAAAATTTAATCTACTTCATTTTTATGGGCTTTAAGTGTAACCAAACAAGAATGCTTTAGAAAAACACACACCTCTCTCAATTGTTATATAGATAGAGCCAGAATTAGATAGTTCTTTCATCTAGTATTTATGACAGACTATAGGTAAGGCAGAAGAAGGGATTTAACATCAAGGAGACCAATATGCTCCCAAACGGATCTTCATGAAAACATCATTGTGGGTTGGTATGATTAAAACAGGGACATCATTTCCTCTCACTCACCACAACCCAAGTACCAGATGAAGACTAACCGCCCACCATATATAATTTGAAGGAATAGATCTACACCTTTGATTCCTGTCCTGTGCTTAGGCCAGAGGAAATCGACATGGTTGATAAACCTCACAGCTCCATGAAGAAGAGGAAAAAGGAAATGGCTACTGATAAACCAGTGTGCCAAGACATGCTGTATTTACTCAATTGCTTCCCAAACTAACAGCCCAGAATGCCCTAATTGTCATATAATTATTCCAAAATATCTTAAAAGCAAAGGCGAAGTCACTGTTTCTGATAGATGCTTTAGCCATCTTTCTTTCCATTCTGATAATCTTTAAAATAAGCAGCAGGTTCATTCTATAAGCATGTTTATTGCTAAATAGGGCTATACCTTGTGCTGGTTTGCTTCCTCTATGTCTAATGAATCAGTGCTGTTCTTTTGAGCTGTAAACCAAAAGAGAAAATCAAAGAAAATAGCCTCCAGTAGTCAGACTCTAGATTTCCAAAATCTATCAGTCCTTGGCCATGAGAAAATCAGGGAAATTTTACTTTTAAATTCTTTCATAAATAACTGGATTATCATTTCCTAATATGTCTGCTTAATAAGGTTCTAGTTTGAATGCTTCATTCTCTTAAAAGTGAAATACATAGGCATGAAAAGGCTGCTCTTGAGTAAGAAAAAAAAAAGATGGTTTGAATAAAATATACCTTGGCTGATAATAAAAGAAAAGCACTTTAGTGTCTCTTTTAAATACCAGAAGTGGAATTAGTTACCTGCATACGCATTTGGACACAGAAGATAAAAACCTAGAAACAGTGCCTTACACACAGGAGGTATTCAATGACTAATAGGCGAAGGAATAAATGAGTGGACATCTTAGATGTGATATGTAAACAATATAGAATTCTTTAAATACATTGTGAACTAGAAATGTAAAAATATTTTAACAAGGACGTAACTGGGATAAAGAACATTTTATTTCTTGGGGATAGTTTTCATGACTGCAATCAAATTATAATGTGCATAATGAGGCCTAGTATTCACCTATTCAACTCATGCAACAGAGAGTAGACATACAGAATGTTCCTCAATGAAGCAAAGGAGCTGGGAGCACAGTCTCTGCAGCCTACTCCTGAGTTTCTATCTTTACTCATTTACTTAGCAGCTGGATCACTCTGGGTAAATTTCTTAATATCTCTACCTCATCTCCATAAAATGAAAGTAGTGATAGTCCTTATCTTATAGAATTGTTATGAAAATTAAATAAGATAATCCATGTAAAGAGTTTGGAGGAGTTACTGGCACAAAGAAAGTGCTCTATTATTAATTTTGTTATTACTATTTTTCAAGAGCAGAAAGGACTGTGTGCCTTCTAATTTTGGTTCTAAAATAAAAGAGTAGAAATAAATAAATAAATAAATAAATAAATAAATAAATAAATAAGCAAGCAAGCAAGCAAGCAAGCAGGATACAAAAGGGGACACCTGTATGGCTCAGTCGGTTAAGCATCTGCCTAGGCTCAGGTCATAACACCAAGATCCTGGGATTGAGCCCCATGGATCCCAGGGCAGGTAGCCTGCTTTTCCCTCTCCGTCTGCCTGCTGCTCCCTCTTCTTGTGTTCTCTCTGTCTCTGTCAAATAACTAAATAAAATCTTTTTTAAAAAGAGCAGAAAAATGTTTTACAGGAACCAGCATTTTGGGCATGGCTCCTAAGAGAATCTGGAAGCAAGAAAGGGCTTTTATCCTCTCTGTTTTAAGAGTTTATATGCTTTAGTATAACCAACTAAAAACAAAACAAAACAAACAAAAAAAACACTACACAGATGTAAATTCTGAGGTGGTGATGCAGCTGTAACTTTTTTCACTCTGTCATTCCAAGCTCTGTCATGTATAAGATATTGTATGGAAGTATTTTATATACATCAACTCCCATCCTCATAGTAACAATCCCAGATATATAGGTAGCAGAATAGATACTATAAGCCCACATTTACAGATGAGAAAATTGAGAGGGCTAATTTACTCCAGGATGTAAAGTTAGTAAGAATGAACTCTTGTCCTATACCAAGTAGATGTATTATACTTTTCGAGAGAAAAGCACCAAATATATATTGCATGAGGAAGGTTCTTTATCCATCATTCCTATAATTAAAAACTCTTCAACTGAAATTTAAAAACAAATACTGTTTGATATTTTTAAGTAAATTATTAAGTAAATTACCTCTTCATTTATACTGCTAAGTAGGCTGATAATTAATGACAGATTTTGAAAGTTCAAACTTAAGAAATATTCAAACCACTTGATGAAGCATAATACCACCTTGGTAAATTCCCTTACAAGGGAAGAGTGGGAACTAACTCCTAAGAAGAAAGGGTTGGGATTCCTTTCCATGAATGAAATCTCCTTGGGTAAAAATCTGTCAGAAGTGGGCACTGGTGAATGGGAGATTCTGGATTTGGAGAAAGGGCTAAAATGCTGGAGAAAGCACTCTCAGAATAGCAAAACAATGCATGCTACCATAAAACAGAGAAGTCAAGCAATTAAGCAGATTATTAAAGCAAAAATGTAAAAATACACATCCTTTTGCCTTCACGTGAATATCTGTAATTTCTCATATAGCTTGAAATGTAAATTTGAGTGCAATAATCTATCTCAATGAATGTAAATATGAATTATCTATCTCAATGTGCTTTTATAGACCTGGCCTCAACAAAGTATAGTGTGTCTCTCTTATTTTTTTTTCTTTTTAGATTTTACTTATTTATTTGACAGAGAGGTAGAGAGAGATCACAAACAGGGGGAAAGGCAGAGGGAAAAGCAGACTCCCTGCTGAGCAGGAAGCCCTTTGCAGGGCTCCATCCCAGGACCCTGGGATCATGATCTGAGTCAAAGGCAGATGCTTATCAAACTGAGCCACCCAAGGACCCTCTCCCTCTTATTTTCTGATGAGAATGGGCTACAGGGGAAGAAGTCGTTTGTTCTAAAAGAACCATTAATTAATTTCTTCTTGGTGTCCTTTAGTTAGCAATGAACTTATCTCTTTATTATAAAGCAGGGTGTTTTGATCCAAGTCTTATTCTTTCGTCAAAAGCATTCAAACAGTTACCTCTTTAGAGATATTTTTATTAAAATACAGTTTAATGGGGTGCCTAAGTAGCTCAGCTGGTTGAGCAACTGCCTTCAGCTTAGGTCACTATCCCAGGGTCCTGGGATAAAGCCCCACATCATTCAGCTCCCTGTTCAGCAGGAAGTCTGCTTCTCCCACTCCCTCCCCCTGGCTTGTGCTCTCTCTCTCTTGCTCTCTCTCTCTCTCTCAAATAAAGAAAATCTTTAAATATTAATACAATAAAATATAGTTTAATAAAAGTGAATGAAGCACATACATAACTCTTGAAGGTAAAGAATTTGTTTGGTTTAAAAGGACTAATACACTACTTACTCAACAAATATTTACTGAATGCCTGCTGTATACAAGGCATTTAGTACTCATCACCAGACTAAATAAAGGTCCTTCCCTTCATGGAGCTTAGATTCTGGTGGGGAAAGACTAAAAATTAACAAATCATATAATGTGTTACAAGGTGTTAAGTGCTATGGTAAAAGGTTAAATATAATAGTAGAGTAGAGTAAGAGGGACCGGAGTGTGGCAGTTTGTAAAATACATTCATAAAGTTTTTGATATTCCTCCTTTCGAAAGGTAGAACTTCCCAGACTTAGTGACTTACTTACAACAAATAGAATATAGTAGAAGTGGTTGTATATCACTTTCAAGACTGAGTTATAGGAAGCTTGTGCCCTCTGTCTTGGGTGCATTATCTCTCCTGGATAACTTTCTGACCCAGCTGCCAGGACGTCAGGCCTATGGAAAAAGCTCATGCGGCAAGTAACTGAAGCCTCCAGTTAGCAAGCAGCGGGGAGCTGAGGCCTGCCAAGAACCATGGGAGTGAGCCTGAAAGTGGATTTTCCTGTCTTAGCTGAGCCTTGAGCTCACCATCCCTTACTAATAGTCTGGCTGCAAACTCTAAGAGATCCTGATCCAGAACTGGTTACTCAGTTAAAAGGCTTCCAGACTTCTTCTTTTTTTCTTTTTTAAAAATATTTTATTTATTTATTCATGAGAGACCCAGAGAGAGAATGGCAGAGACACAGGCACAGGGAGAAGTAGGCTCCTTGCAGGAAGCCTGATGCGGGACTTGATCCCGGGGCTCCAGGATCATGTCCTGAGCTGAAGGCAGGCACTCAACCACTGAGCCACTCAGACATCCCAGGCTTCCAGACTTCTTATCCTCAGAAATTGTGAGATATAATTAACGTTTGTTGTTTTAAGATGCTAAATTTTGGGTAATTGTTGCATAGGGATAGATAACTAATACAGTGAGGGTGGGAAGGAGGCAGGTTGCAGGGTTTTTTTGTTTCTTTTTTGTTTTGTTTTGTTTTGTTTTGTTTTGTCTTAGGTTGCAGTTTTAAATAGGATAGTCTAGGCCTCCCTGAAATGACATTTGAACTAAGACTTGAAAGACGTGGGGGAGGAACAGCAAGGAGGCCAGTGTGACTGGAGTTGAGTGACATAGGTAGAGGGTGATAGAAGTTAACTGGTAGGATGGCTGGCTGATAGATCAGACCCCTATAGATCAGGGGTCTATAGGCCACTGTAAGGATACTGACATTTCTTCTAGATTAAATGGAGAGCCACTACCGGGTTTTGAGTAGAGGAATGTGTGACCTTATCAAAAAATTTAAGGGGAATAAAGAAAGCGCCATGCATGTAAATCATTCTTATAATCTTCTTATTGACAACTATAAATCTAGTTCTTTTGTAGTTCAATTTTTACCAGTATAATAGATGACAGGGTAAAAATACAGCCATAAGAAAATATTCTTAGGGAATGGAAATGGAAATAAACAATCCTGGTCATACTTATCAAAAAGATACAGTCAAATATAATTTACATCATATCTTGTTTTTCAGTCAAAAAATTTTCAGGGGAAAAAAAAGAACTTTAGAAAAGTTTTCTTAACTGTTTGCAATGCACAAGAAGGAAAAAGTGCATCTTTCCATTATGTGCATTTGCAAGCAAGTCCATGTGCTTTACTACATGAATGGAGCAAGGACACCCCTGGATGGGTCTTCTCAAAACTTAGGAAAAGAAATTTAATTTCTATAATTCTAAATCCAATTTCTATAACTCTCTATCAATATAATGAACAAATATAACACAGTTTAATCTTACCTGATGTAAGATAATGTTTTTGATATTTAGGAACATATTTCTCAAGGAGGCACTTCATACATGAATCTTTGGCCTCATCCAAAGCACATTTTCCATTGTCACTCCTAAGTAACGGATCAGCTCCATTCAAAAGAAGTAACTCTGCCACCTACAGGAAGATTGTTCAGGTGAGCATATCCAAAGAAAAAGTACATTATTGTAAATGTGTGCTAGCATACAACTCTAAGTAAGCAACATCTGTTATTTCTTTTACTTTTTAAAAAATATTTTATTTATTTATTCATGAGAGACAGAGAGAGAGAGGCAAAGACATAGGCAGAGGGAGAAGCAGGCTTCCCATGGGGAGCCTGATGACAGTCTCTATCCTGGGATTGCGGGACTTGATCCCGGATCACGCCCTAAGCCGAAGGCAGACACTCAACCGCTAAACCACCCAGGCGTCCCTAATATTTCTTTTTTTTTTAAAGATTTTATTTGTTTATTCATGAAAGACACAGAGAAAGAGAGAGGCAGAGACACAGGCAGAGGGAGAAGCAGGCTCCCTGCAGGGAGCCTGACACGGTGACTGCATTCCAGGACCCCAGGATCACAACCTGAGCCAAAGGCAGACACTCAACCACTGAGCCACTCAGATGCCCCTCTGATATCTCTTTTAATAACAGAGTTTGGGTTTACCTATAACAACTTTTTCCAATAAAAAAATTTATGTAATTGCTACTGAATCATAATTTGTTGATATACAAATCTTTCTCTTACAAAAAAAGGGAGAGAGGGAGAGAAAAAGAGAGGAAGGGGCCAATAGGGAGAGGAAAGGAGAGAGGGACTGAAGGAGGAAGGACAGGTCAGAAATGTATATAGCTTAGGTGCTGGTGAAATGAAGCCAGCAGATATACCAAGAATTAGCACTGGGTTCTGGAGTAGTAAATATAACAGATTTCAGGAGATTGTTATGTCTTCCATCTATATCTGTGTTGCTGCTGCTCCTCCTCAGAGTGAGGGAAAAAACAGTCAACCCTTAATTTGTTAGTACTCCTCAAAGTAACCTCCTCCGTGAAGTGTGCCCTGACCTTCCATTCATTACTACTCTAGAGAAAAATGACCTCTCCTTTCTTTTAGGTATATATTTTATCACCTTGCCCAATATATATTATTATTGTTATTTCTTATATATCTGTCTCTCCTGTAGCCTAAGGTTTCTGAGGGTGGGGCTATGTTTTCCTTTTAAAATTAATTATTTTTGAATAGGATATTAATGAATATAGTTCAAAACACAGAAGGCTCATTAAAATATGTGAGAAATATTTTCCTCTCCTCTACCCCTGTCCTCCAGTCATCCAATTTTTTCCTAAGCCCTGGCTATAGTTTCTTCTGAATTCTTCCACAGTCAATCTAGTCCAACAGGTATATACATATGTATACTCATTTTTTCTTATGCAAGTGGTCATATATTATATACATTCCTCTATGTCTCGCACCTGAACAACAGAGCTTAGAGATTGTACCATATCAGTATAAAATCAACTTCATTATTTTTAGAAGCTGAGTAATACTCTACTAGTCAATGTACTATTGAATAGTACATTCAATAAATTATTGAATGTACTGTACTTTACTTAACCAGTATCCTACTGACATGTTTAAGTTGCTTCCAAGCTTCTACTACATATATGTCTTAATCATCTTTATATTCCCAGTGCCTCAGTGTCTAGCTTAGAGTAAATATTCAATAAATATTATTTAATAAAAGAATGCATGTAATCAAGTAAGATGTGGGAAGTAGGCTTTACACAGCACTACACTAAAAGGAGCCTACATTTTCATGTTAATATCTGGAATGACAAAAAGGATGTGAATTTCTGTAAATTTTATATACCTCCAAATTAAATATATATATATATATATATATATATATATATATATATATTCTTTTTTTTATAACAAAGCATTCTAGGAGAGAAAAACATAACACCATAAAGGGACAATATAAGCCAGATCCTTTAAAAATTATTAAGACTTGGCAATTCTGCTTTTCAAACTATTTTATTATGACAATTTAATGCTAGATGGGGAACTTGAAAATAAAATAAATATAATAAAATCTATAATTCATATGTAAGCCAGTATAACAAGATAACAAATTTATGTCTAGATCTTCACGTATTGTTCAGCAAAGAAAATATCGAGTACACAGCTTTCTTTTAGGAAAGAAGTTTTGTAAGGGAGTTGCCAAAAGGACTATATTATTTATCTCTGGAAGTTTTGTGTCAAATAATAACCCATGTAGTATGAGAGTGACTCAGAATCAAGGAGCATGAGAAAGGGGACTGGAAGAAGGGAAAAGGCAAGGGCTAGAGGCCCACTTTCCTGGAAATCTGAGTTGATGATTCCAAGGGAGTGGATACATTACTTTGGCAGTCCCTGACTTAGGCAATGGATGGATAGTCTTGCTTCACCAAATATCCACACTTACCATTTCCCTCCACAGTCTTAATATTATGAATTCTGAAGCCTACTCTACATATCTTCTAACTTGAAATGCTCTTTTCTCACCAAAAGGCAGTAAATAAATGACTTTTGCTGAGTATCCCCCCCTTTTTTTGAAAGGTTTATTTATTTGAGAGAGGGAGAATGAGCACAAGTGGGAGGCATTGAGGGAGAGGGAATAAGTCTTAAGCAGACTCTGCACTGGGTGCCCAAGTGGGGTTTGATCCCATGACCTTGAGAGCAAGACCTGAACTGAAACCAAAAATTGGATGGCCAACCAACTGTGCCATTCAGGCACCCCTCCTTCTTATTTTAAACCTACATTTAGGTTTTATATTAGCTCTGTGTTACTACCTAACAAATTACCCCCAAACAAAGTGGCCAAAAGAATAATAAATATTTATAATCCCACAGTTTCTGTGGGTCAGGAATTTGGGAGAAGCACAGGCAGGTGCTTTTGTATCAGGTTCTATCTCTGTCTTCTTTATTCTTTATTCATTTTTTTATTTTTTTTTTGCCAGAATAGTCTAGATGAGATTACTGTCATTCAAATATTTTACAGAATCAGGAATGCAGCAACTGGGTCTAGGTAGGATAAAAAAAGTAAAAAAAACTGCAGGTTTGTATATGTTGGTCTATTTACATCTGTAACAGGCTTTCCTCCACAGGAGGCACAGCAGCTGTACTTGTCTGATGCTTCCTTACAGATACAGTCCTGGGCACACTTGGCACTGTCCATGGGGCAGGAGAAGCAGTAGCTCTTCTTGAAGGAGATACATTTGCACTCTGCATCCGCAGGAGACAGAGCATCTGCAGGAGCCCCTGGTGGAGGAGGAGCCATTGGGGTCCATTTCAAGCTAAGGTGAGGATGGAGGTCCCAAGCGAGTGATGCTGGGAGGCACTGCTGTGGGCTGGAGGTGTAGAGGTTAGTTTCTTATGTGGATGTAGTCAAGAGGATGGCTGGAGATACAATTATGTAAAAGCCTGACTGGGGCTGGAAGGTGTTGCCTAAGATGCTTTGGTCACACAGCTATGGGACGGAGACCTTGGTTCATTGCCACGTAGACCTGTCCATTGAGCACTGTGGCATCCTCCATATACACCTGGCTTTCCTCATATAATGAACCAAAATCAAGAGAAGAGAGAGAACAAGGAAGAAGC